CAATTAGCTGTTTGATGTTTCCTTTACGGTCCCGGTTACTTTCAGGCAGGTCAATCTCCATCTCAAAGGATGCATGAATCTCGCATCCTTACCTCCTGAGTCCCGGCACACGGAAGGTGAAGCCATGGCTTTATTAGCCCTGTAAGTACGAAGCGACCTGATTAAAAGTGCTCACACGCCCACGTCCCATTCGGGCTAGATAACAGCAGGACCAAGGGTGATGCAGGTCTCTAAAAACTCAGTGTTGACTCAAGGTGGGATCCCACCCGTGTGGGGTGACTCACAGCCCATCCACTGAGCGGCTGATAATTATTAATATCTATGGTAATATGTACAGAGAGAGGGATGAGCTGGAAAGGAAAGGAAGGGCCACAGTCATCACCGAGATGGGATGGAGCATTTTCCAGAGCTGCTGATCCCGCCCTGCCCCTCAGGGGATGCAGGAATTCTCTCCACAAGCTCAGCAGCTTTCACTTCTTCGCAAGTGCTAAGAGAACTACACAACCTAAAAATACAGGGAAGGTGGTTTTTTTCTTACTTTATCTTGAAAATGCCTCACTTGCCTGGCTGTGCTTCACGGAGCTGGTCCCTACTTCCTGCATAAAATATAACTGAAATAATACTGGAGTAACTGAATATATACGCACAACGGAAATAATAATTGATCCTGTCACAGCTTCTTCATTCCAGCATCCCAATCCGAGAGCATACAAATACTTCTGCAACCCCCGAACAACCCCTCACGTAAACAGAATATTTACGGATCTCTACGCAAAAGCTGCCTCTGAGGAAGGTGATAAAAAAGGACTGAGTGATGGCTTTTTGGCTGTACTCATAAAATAATGACCTTTATGCAACAAATACACTTAGCTCTTAGAGAGTTACAGTCTAAAATCCTTACAAACCATCGGGGTCTAAAGGTCCAGTGGTTAAGGATAATTAATTTGAGCAGCATTTCATACATGTTATTTGTAAGGGATTTTGGTGTGCCATATGGATTAATAGAGATTGCCATTTAAATTCTTCTGGTTCATATTCATTGCCTTATTACTCATAAAAATGCAAAAGAAAATGTTAATGATGATTACACCAAAGACTAATAAGTTAAAGCCTTAGGTTATACTTTGCATTTCTGAAGATATAAATGCAATCGCTTAATAATTATGCATATTTTTAACTATTGAGTTATTATTTCTCTATATGCTTGTAGTTAGCCTAATTAATTTTAAGCTCCTCTTTATATGTTTATACATGCAATTAATTTCCAACTTTTTTTTAGCCCCTTGCACGAGGGCATTAACTATTATAAAGACAATAAAAACTAAGAATTGTACACCCTGGAACAATACAGTAAATATTACCTCCATGCGTGTAAAACTGACACTGTTGTTCTCTAGCACGTATAACAGAAAACTGCCTCAAGGAAATAAATGGACTATTTTTATTAACAATATTGGTATCTTAGTATTTCTGTGAGAAAAGAGGAAGAAACAAAAACTATGGATTTTTATGCAAAAGCAGCTTATTTTGTCCTCACTTGTTTATTTTGGTTTTAATGAATTTCTATTAAATTTCTAAATCTAATAGAATTTGTATTTTTGAAAAATTGCTTTATTCATTCTAATTTTTCCTTTTTTGAGATGATGAGTTAATTCTTGTTTACATAACAGTGTTTGTGATGGCACACACCAGAGAAGACACCTGAGGTGCTCTAATGAAATATCGCGCCTGCAAACTCTGCATGACAGATTGTATTCTGGCCGCTGTCGCACTGCATCCCTTGGTCGTCTTTTATTTGATACTTTTATGACATGATCATCAAAGCATGTCTTGTGGCCTTGCTCTGTGCCCAAGGACAGTTGGGACCTGATCCGTGGTGCCCCTTCCATGGTGTGCTGGATAGCAACACTGCCTATTTCTGAAGACATTGTGACATCATAAAGGAAACGAGGATGTTTGTGCCAATATTTGGTATCCATGTTAAAATACAAAGGCTGTAAACCTGTGAAATCAGCACCTGATTATGCACCTTTACCTGGTGACTAGGCTGAATGCCATGCAAAACAACCAAGTTTTGAGTCATGCCAACCTATACCAAAGTGACAGATACCTGCAAAATACCACTGCAGGGAACTATACCTCAGCTATCATACTGTTATTTTCCTCTTTTATTTTTACACTTTGTTCAATTGTCAGCAGGTCAGGATTGAGGCTTTAAACCTGATTCTGGCAAGAGGGAGACCTTCTGGTCCGATTATCTATTTGCATGTGCCCAGAGCCAACGGCGCATACAGTCTATGGCTACATACATCCAGTAAAAAAGAAAGAAAATAAAAGCTTTAAAATGTGGTTAGATGATGTTTCCCATCTATAGACTTTTTTTTTTTCAGTACATCTCCAGTAAGAATTTGCAGTCGGTTTAAACACATACCTTGTACAGTTAAGTGCACCTGCATCGTTCTAGGAGTGTGCTGAGTTTGCACAGAACAAGTGTATGGACCGTCATCCGTCACGTCTACGTCTTGTATCTGCAGGCTATATTCTCTTCTGTTTGCTGTTGCGATTGAAACCCGAGGATCTACCGACCACTTGTCACTTCCAGCAAAAATAATACTCGACCGATTCAGCCAGGCACCTTTTGAAGCTCCATCTTCCAAGTAACACCTGGGAAAAGACGTGAAACCATAAGCATGAAAACGTAAGAGCTTTTGAATACCATTAACCTGTTATTGGTTTTCAGATTGAATACAGCTATAATATACTAGAGTTGGACCTCAAAACATGAGTCATTTGTTAATTTACAAATCATCATAAAACCAAAAAGTCTGTCTTAAAACCACACAATAAACATAAGTATACTTTCTGCTATGTTCCTCCTTTCTGATTTTCCTGCTGTGGGTGTTCAGTGGAGCAGCAGGTAGAAAGTCTCAGTTATTTCTGAACTGAACTCAAGGACTTCATTGGAGCCGCCCTCTCTGCTCCAGTTTCAGCCCGCAAGGATCAGGAGTAAGCATGTGCGCCTGTGTGAAATTACTGACCTTTCCCTAAGACACAACAAACTTCTGCTTGGGTAGTTAAGGAACCAAGAGACTTTTTCCACCCAAAACTGTAATAACATCTTAGAATACAAACCAACATTTTTTTCTTTTCAAAGGTTGTTAGATTTGTCATTGCTAATCATATTCAAGACATCTAATTTAAAGCAAACATACGTTCCATTAGCATGGATTTCCCTGCTGACAACAACAATGAAATATAAAGGATAGTTTTGCTAAATATTTTTTTAAAACCTCTTTAGTGTGGTAGTGATTCAAATGAATTTGTTTATTATGTCACACTTTAGCTTTTCTACAATTATTATTAGAAAAATAATGATAAATAGTGCTGTTCAGGGTGTAATAGTCACCTTAATTGGGGTCGGTGAATAACAACACCCCTACAATCAGAAGCAGATGTGACCCAGACAGATTCCTTCCTTCCAAATTTTAGTTCAAAAATATTCCTCCATAATGTAAAGACTTTGATATTTTTTTTTTAAATGAATAAAAATTACAGCTGGAGAATGAAAACACATATATCTGAAGAGTTTGACAGCATTTCTACACAGTATCTTGGGGGTTTGAAGACAGCATTGGAGATTGTGAGGGAATTGTGAGCTGAACACGCCAGCACAGGTGCTGCACACTGTCTGAAACAAATCCATCGAGAAATACAAAGAACAAGGTATATTGCAAAATCTAATTTGTAGTCCATTTCACCATCTGTAGATTCCAAAAACCAGTCGGAGTATGAAAGGTCAATGTTAATTGAAAATCTTTTCTGTAGATATACAACCAAAAAAAAACCCAAAAAACCCCACCCAGGTGTAACAGAAGCATAACCTTCTACTAAGGTGATTAGGCACTGAAATATGCTGCTGTTGTCAATATTTTGTATTGCATTAGGAAACATTCATAATTTCTCTCTAAAACAGCTTTCTTAAGATGCTCGCTTTCACACTGGGATGAGAACTGCACTGCGAAGGATACTCTTACATATCACTAAAAACCCTTCAGAATAGCACGTCATCAAGCGCAGGTACTAAACTTGGTAGGAAAAGCAACAAGAAGCTGGTGAGTAACGTTGACAGTCCTTCTTAACACAATTAAGTACAATAACATTGACAGGGCTCAGCACAATTAAGTAAATAAGGAGGAAGGCAGACGATCATTGAGGTGGGATCCTCGCAGAGGCAGACGGTGCTGGTGTGAGGGCGGCGCTCCCCAACCTCAGACGGGCAGAGCGGTGGCCAGGGGGAAGGGGGTGATGCCAGAGGATGCAAAGCTGTACAGGAGCTGAGGAACCTGTGTCACAGGTAGAGCTGAAGGAGAGGTCACTCCTTCAGCTTTTTTAACCTACAAAAACGGTCCCAAGAGGGTAGGATACTGGGACATTGGGTATTAAGAAGAATGTCTTCATGGAAAGGGCTGTCAGGCATTGGAAGGGGCTGCCCAGGGAAGTAGTGGAGTTACCATCCCTGGAGTGATTTAAAAGATGTGTGGATGAGGTGCTGAGGGACAGGGGTCAGTGGTGGGCTGGGTAGTGCTGGGTTAACGGTTGGACTGGGTGGGCTTAAAGGGCTTTTTCAACCCAAACTATTCTATGATTAAAATGGCCCCAGGAGATGCTCTAATTTTTAAGACAACCGATGGCTTTGGAGTAGGCATCAGACTTTTCTGTCATCTGGAAAGAGGGGAGTGACACTGTGACAGGTGGGAGAGTAGGAGAGAGACAGGCCACTAAGCACGACTCCTCAGTCCCATGGGCTTTTTGACGTCATGTTCAACGGAGCTTGGACAATGCAGTCTGTATTCGATTTTGCAGTGTTTGACAGTGAAAGCAATCCCTAGGCAAGGCAGCCTTGAGATGCTCTCTTGAGCTTCAGCCAGAACAATGATTTTTGTGAGCAGCCAGGAGAACACATGAAAGAGCAGCAAGTGAGGAAAGAAAATATAATGGTGGGAAGAAAACCAGTAGACACCAGGAGAGACCAGGACTGTGTGAAGTATGAGAATACAACGAGAATACAAACACTGAAGGTACTTCAAGTACCACCTTGCTATAGACAACGAGATGTCTGTCATAAACCCAGGAGGACTGGAGATGAGACCTGAGCAACAGAAAACGGTGATAGCTTGGGTAGAGAGCATGGGAAAACAGGAACAGGAGAAAGATGTCCAGGAGGAATGGCCAGCAAGGACAGTCCCTTTTGGTAGCTGAGAAGTGAGGGGTTAAAAGGAAAGAGAAAACTTGTAGAAGGAACCTTATTTCTATGAGATGTTGAAAAAGACTGAGCCTGTCCGCAGGGAGGTTGAGGAGATTTAATTAAGGCTCTAAACTAACTGAGAACTCTACTCTGGTTTTCCATAAGCAGGTGACATCCAGCATGTGGGAAAAGGCAGAGCAGCTAATGGAGTCAAAAGGCAGAGAAAAACCTTGATGGACTCAAGTTTGAGAGCACGAAACTGCAAATCCGGGAGCATGTGGAGTTTTTTTAAACAATCTGAAAGCGATGCCATAGGACTGGGAAATCGTAAATGTATTATCTATATTTAAGGAAATGTGGAGTGTGAATCAGGCAAATTTTAGGCTAACCACCATGCCCACAATAGAACTGAAGGCTTTAAAACAACTTTAAAAGTTGAAGGAAGGTAATACAAAGTGCAACAGACTAATGGGATATTTTTATTTGATAATGAGTTTTTTTTACATGAAGGAAATCCAAGAGAAGAAGAGAAGGCAATAGATCTCAACTCTTTGATAAAACATTAAAATAGCGCAACTATGGAAACTCTCAGATGGGAGAAAATGGTGATTTCATAGGTTAAGCATATGGTGGTATTGTTTAAGGGGAAAAATGACATTCCCTTTAGGAATAAGAAACCAGAAGTATCAGGATGAAATTCTGCAGAAATGGATCATGAAAATAACCATTCATTTAATTAATGATCTCAACATGAAATCTGAAAGGATGCTGAGAGAAGCTGCATACGATACGGGATAAAAAAATCACAGTTTATATAGCAGAGAATTGGGATGTCACGGGGACGCATCACTTTGAGGATGGAGAGCGCAGCAGACATCTGTGAATCCCTGCAGGAGGAGTTTTGTAGGCTCTGGTCCCATTCAGAGAAGGCAAGGAACCACTGTCAAAGTCTTATATGAATATTTTCAAACTGATACTAATGAACTGGGGAGAAGCAGAGAAACCTCAGATTCTCTGACATCTTCCTACAGTGCCTTTCTTTCTAACTGGTATTTCTGCAGCAGCTGGATACAGTCAGTTAAAAATGAATATTTTTGAAGGCAGCTTTTAGTTTCAGCGATGCCCCATCCCTGGATGTCTTCGAGGCCAGGCTGGACGAGGCTTTGAGCAACCTGGTCTATTGGAAGGGGTCCCTGCCCACGGCAGGGGATTGGAACTGGGTGATCTTTAAGGTCCCTTCCAACCCAACCCCTTCTGTGATTCTATGTTTCTATGATTTTATTTAACTCCCTTGTTGTTTATACACACGCACACATCCACAAACATGCAAGAAAGCTTTAGGACTACAGTTTCTTCCTTCAAGAGAGAAAAACGGCTGCCTCCTCTCCCAGCACACTAAACCAGCCTCAATCCCTATATATCATGTAAGAAAAACATTTGCTTTGCTTAAAAAAACAAAAGGTGACAATAGAACTTGAAATTTTTGGTTATTAAAGACAAAAGTGTAATTCTCCTGAGATGCAAAGCAAACCACTTGAAAACCAAGCTGGGGAGGGCAGTGCTTGGGGCTGTTGTCACGGCAGCTCCAAAGCATCCTTACAGCCTCCTCAGCGTGCCTGCTCCGAAAGCCCCAAAGGGTCTTGAAAACTTCTCGTACAAACACAGCCCTTTTGATATCAAGGCTTTCCTGCCGAGACAAGGCGAGATACAGCAGTGCAGAAAGGAACATGAGACCTCTTGCTTTTTTACTTGATATACAAAGTATGTTCTCAAAATAACTTTCTAAAACAAATAAATTTTGATTTATTAATTAGTAGGTGCATGTTTATCGTGGATAGAGGATGAAAACCTGCTAAACTCAACCTTCTATGCCCCAGAAGTTAACAAAAGGCATGCCATGTAAAACATGAAAATCAAGGACTAGAAGTGGAACAGATGTTTAACTGTGGAGAGAGATTTGCACGTTTGATGAAAAATAAAATCACAAAATATATTTCTAAAAACGTAAGTAGGAGAAAACATTTCAGTCTTGTTCAGACCCTGACGAAGCACGTTGTATTGCCGAAGCACAACAGTTGCAAACTAAAAATTATATTCCAAATAAGGTTAACTGAAAACAGGTTAAATATTTCACCTCAGACAGGCTCCTTCAATAGCCCAAAGCACTCTTCCCTCTGCATTTACTCAAAACCCATGCAAGTTCCCTAACAATGTGGGAGCGACTTGAAAACATTGCAGAATTTGGCTGAAATATTTTGCAGAGGACAGCCTTCAAATTAAACAGCAGCCAACATGCTGTCTTTTCCTGCTACACACACTCGATGCGAAGGATAAAGTGCGTATTTACTCCACGGAAGAAGCAATCAGATGATTCATCTCAGAAATGTTTTCTAATCTAACAAATTTAATCCCTTTCTGTTTGCAAATCACTTCTCATTTTTGCAAATGCAGCTATTGCTTCAGACTAGTCCGCAGGCA